AGATTTCCAGTACAAGCCATAATTAAACATTTTTAAAATAGAAGTTACCATCAATCTTTTAAATACTATATTTTACAAGTCAAGTGTGAGCCCATCATTTGGACATTTCTGTGTCTGCATTTTTAAGTTGTGTGTTACTGTAAAGAAGTTATTATCTTAAAAATAATTATTCAGAAAAAAACCTAGCTGGAGTAGAAATGCTACTTTTAATTTGTCTTCTTTCAGTCACAGAAAAAAATATCAGTTGTTTGCAGATGCAATGGAAAAATCTGCTTACATAGCAAACAAGTTAATACTTTCCTACTTGCACCTAGAGAGAAACAATACAAGAAACCAAGAAATCTCTAGTTCTGAAATGGAATGCTTTTTCCTTAAGTTTCTTGTTCCACTTCTTTCTCCTCCAAGTTCATGTTCTCTGAATCGTGCTTAATACCTCTGTTATGAACACAAGTAGCTAGTCCTCAACAGAGTAGAAGAAGACTTTACTGATGAAAAATGAATAGTTTAGATGAAGATCTATTATGCAAACTGATTACACAGGTCTGAAGAAAATGTTTAAAGATTTAAACCTGATTTTTGCATTGAGTGTGTTAGGAAGTAGTATATTCCCTATTTCCTTGATTTTGTATTATTAATTTTGTAGTCTTTTAGTGAATAATCTAGCCTAATATAATCAGAATTTGATGGATATATAGGGAAGTAATTTCTCTGCCTCTAGTCATACTGTAGAGATTTGTTCACTAAAGCCATTTGACATGGTTGTCTCCTCTTTCTCCTGCTAAATACCAGAAACAGAGGGTTAGAAGGTAGCGAAAATTTCAGATTTCAAATGCAGCTTGTGCTTTAGCACCCTGTACACCGACATCATTGTTCTCTGCCTTGCAATATCATTTCCTTTTGGCCATGTATTTCCCTTCTTGTTCTGGAATAAGACTTACAAATGAATGAGGTCAATATTTGTTAGTCACTAAGCAAAATACTCTCGGGTATGTTTCAGATTTCAAAAGGTTTTACAGTAGTTTGTGAAGCAAGAAAAGGTTCATATACATCATACATACAAAATATAAAACTACATGGAATATCAGAACTTATAGTTCAAATATACTGAAATCCCCCTCTGGCTTCCCCTGATTTTCAGTTTGGAGATGTGGTACATTAAAAATTGAGAGTGATTTTAAAATAATACATGTGTATAGCAGGCGACCTTTTTTTTTAACTGCTAACTGGATAACATCCCCCTTTTTTTTTTTAATGAAAGGGGTAAAATGGCTACAAAAACTTGCATAGTTCTTTTTGACCCTATCCTCAAACTAGCATGTGTATAAAGAATATTGTAATACACGTGAGATGCATTTGACAGTCTTTGAACTAATCTACCTTAAAACATGATGCTAAATTTAAAGTTGAACTTTAATTTATAAAATGAGAATTATCCTTATTATCCAGCCTGATATAAGAAGTGCATAAAACAATTTCTTTGTGGCAGCCTAATCTGGGATTTTGTTAATTGGCAGCAATTAGAACTATTTCTCTGCAGATGTTTCTTCTAATAGCTTCTCCATGACCCAAACTCTTCTTTCAGACCCCCTGAACAAGTTTACATCCACCTTCAATTTTTAAACAAAAGCCAACAGCTACAGAATTCATGCAGCCTTGAGACAGAGGTGCTTGTCTTACAGGTGATACTTGCTTTTCCATAGGTGGTCACTGCAGAACTACATCTACATCATGCCGATTCTTCTTTTAACAACATGCTAATGCCAACGCAACTGTTAGCTTCCCTTTATTTTGTATTTCAGAGTGTTACTCAGGTTTCAGATACTCTTGTGCTGCTTGAACCCAAACAGAGATAAACTGTTACATACAGAGAATGTAATCTTTGTTTTCTCTCAGAAAGATAGAGCTAAATGTTCAGCTGGTAAACTTGTATAGATAGCTTCACTGTCTGCCTTGGGCTAGATAATGTATACCAGCTGTGAATCTAGGACTTTTAAAGTAGTTTATATAAGAGCAGTACAAACAAAATGAATACATTTGTAAAAGAGAGAAGAAAAAAAATCTACGAAATTATTCTACTCTTTTGGTATGGTATATTTCTATTCATTTAAGAATAATTCCATTATGCTCAACAGCAGTTCATTGCTTTTCAATAGATGCAACTTGCTACAGATTCACTACTGCTGAGTAATTTCTGAGTTCAGCTAGGAGAAATCAACTCTGTTTACTCTTCGTATGAGAAGCAGAGAGCTCAGAAATCACTGTGCACTATATAAGTGAGGCTTAGAAGCGGCTGGGCTGCTTTTTTTATAATTATATTTTGCTTCCTGGTCAGTGGAGATGTGAATGACGAGAAAGACTAGAAGTGATTTAGAGAAAAACTGGTATTTTTGCTTAATTATTTCAAAATAATTCCATGGAAACCATGTAGAAATTGTAAAAGGCAAAATACAACTACACGAGCCTCCTCATAAATGCACATAATATAAATGGTTCAGGGATCTGCACTGGTGCTTGCCTGACCTGGTGTGTTTCCAGGAGTGTACAGCAACGTATGACAACATACTCCCAAGTGCCAGAGCAGGGTTTGCCCTGGGAGCCCTTGGCAATGCCTGAAAACTTGGCACAGCATTATGACAATGAAGTTTGCCCCTGATCATGAGCTAGGATGATTCCAGATTCGTACTATGAACTAAGACACAGGTTTTAAATTTCACAGCATAATAAGAAGTTTGATTAAAGTGAAGACACTTTTACGACCTCATCAAAATCCATAAATACATGTTATTTAATTTTGTCAAATTATGTTTAACTCCACTTATTTTCCTTTGAGAAAGGATTGTTTCTGTTGTTTATAGCTTGCTTTTTAGCTCTCCTTTAGGCTCTTACAACTTTCCTTAATATACTGTAACAAGAGTGATTTATAACCCCCCTGTACTAGGCACTGGTGAGGCTAGCTCTCTAATCCTGTGTTCAGTTCTGGGCCCCTCACTACAAGTGAGACATCGAGGTGCAGAGCAGGTCCAGAGAAGGGCAACGGAGCTGGTGAAGAGTCTGGAGCACAAGTGTGATGAGGAACAGCTGAGGGAACCGGGCTGTTCAGTCTGGAGAACAGAAGGCTCAGGAGGAACCTCATCACTCTACAATGACCTGAAAGGAGGTTGTAGTGAGGAGGTGACTGGTCTCTTTTCCCAAGTAACAAGCAGTAAGAGGTAACAGCCTCAAGCTGCACCAGGGAAGGTTTAGACTGGATATCAGGAAAATTTTCTTCACCAATAGGTGATCAGGCATTGGAATAGTCTGCCCAGGGCAGTGGTGAAATCACAGTCCCTGGAAGTGTTCAAAAATTGTGTAGAGGCCCTTAGTGACATGGCTTAATGGTAGACCTGGCAGTCCTATGATAGCAGTTGGACTCGATGATCTTAAAAGTCTTTTCCAACTGAGTTGATTCTCTGATTCTATGGCCAACACTGGAGAATACTGTATTTAAAAATTTATTTTTATAGTCTTTTGCCTAAAAATTATTTCATAAATATTTTTGCAGGACACACATACACCAAAAAAAAAAAGCACTACAGAACATATTTTTGTTGCTGATATTCTTCCATTGCTAAAAAAAACATGAAAACTTTTCTCTCTAGTGCTACTGCCTCGGTATAAAGAAATGTATTATTATAAAGAAGTGCATATATTATTGATACACTGCCATGTGGTCTTTTAAAAGCACATCAGTAAAGGCTATTGAGTTATTTATAAAATCTACAACTAAATTAGACAACATATATCTGTCATAATGTTTGCATTTTCCACTCAAAGATAAAGAAAATAAAAATCCATAGGAAAGTGAAAAGTACTTGGCATTCAGAGCAATTTACTAATTGGACAAAAAATAAATTATCCACATTATACCTTGTCAACAATAATTACTCTCTTTAATTCCAGCAATTCAAAGACAAAAGGCAAGGATGAAGACGTAGATTCAGGTTGTGTTGAAAAATTAATTTTAATGCAACAGTCTAGATGCTTGATCAATCTGAATTATTGTAATTCATTTCTGGACATTACTGCTTGCTGAATGTTCCAATCACTTTGGGCAAACGCTATGAAGTTGTCAACTCTTTCACAATCCAACTGTGATAAACCTCATTGCTTGGCTAAAGAAAGCTGCTTTGGATGCCAGGTAACTCACAGGTCTGCTTTACCTGTCTTGAGGACTGCCAGAGAGGTGTTTGCACAGGCTAATTTTTAAGAGTCCCTGAGCAGTCTCAGCAACCTTGGAGACCTCTAAGCACTTAACACATGTGAAAGGCAAACCCCAGAGACTAAGAATTGAATCTGTACCTCCACATTATGTTTAACCATGTCAGGGCAGTAAAGAACTCTTTCACGAAGTGGCTTATATTGCATGTGTGTATAACTTCAGCTGTTGCAAGCTTTTTGTGCCCCTACAGCACCCCTACACAATTGAACAGTGCACTCAGTTCAATTTCTTTACTTCTACACTTCTAGTTCTACTAAGACTGAAATGTTCAGCACAGTTTTATATTCAGAACTAGCACTACAAACATTAAGACAGTCCTTACTCTTCTTTCTCGAGAATGTGTAATTGAAATTTTACCTCTGTATCATACAAACAATGTGTGCACAGGTTTGACATCCAGCAATTTAATATTTATTTTCTGGAATGCAAGTATCCACACCTATTTTCTCTGGATTCAACACTACCATCAATTGTATTTTCATGTGTCGAGGTTTTCAGTAATTTAAAGAATCTGACTAAACATGGGTATTGGCTATGTTTTGAACTTTTTAATATGTTGTTTGTTATTTAGGGTACAATCTATTCTTATTATTCGTACCAGAAGGAATTTATTTTTTTTTTTTCTTAACAGCATGGTCAGTATTTTGGGAAAAGACATGAAGTCTCCTCTTTGAACTATACTTCAGGATCTTTACTTTCATAGTTGAAGAGCTACAAATCACTAGGCGATCTTCTTTCTTACCATAATGAGGAATTATTGCCCAAGCCATTGCAGAAGCATAGATGCCACCAATCATCCAAAACATACAGAGCCAACTCAGGTGTTCTCCTCGTTTCTCCCGAGCAAGCACTTCCGAAAAATAAGAGAAGACTGTTGGCACAGCTCCACCAATCCTAAAAGGAGACACAGATTATGGATTAAGTGGGAGAGTAACAGCTAGTTGAGGTTTGAACAAGCCCATAGCTGCAATCATTGAAAATCCAAACTGCAAGCAGCTTTTCTGCTAAAGAATTACTTTTTCTCTCAAATTGCACCATGTATTGGGAAACTCTTGAGGAAAGTTTCACCAGTTTGGACAATTTTTGTCTGGTATTTCTTTTAAAACTGTATGTACAATTAGTTGCATTCAGTGTTTCAAGGGAATTGTCAATGTGTCAGCTGCTGGAACAGGCGGCTATACATAGTGGTTGACTTTCACCATCACAAAAACCTTGAAATCATGGCAGTCTGCTGACAAGTATCAAAATATGTTAGTTTTACCTGAAAAGGTAAGTCATTTTCCCAAAGAACAATAGAAATTTCTCTAAATCTTACCTCCCATGCTTTAGGTAATAAAGAAGTAACTAAATGCCAGCTATGTTACTAATACATTTTATTTCATGCATATTTAAAAAGAAGTCCTATTCAGTTGTATAACATGATTTGCTAAGTCCATGATAGCTTTTGACTTATTTTTTCTATGAAAAGCCTATGCATTCATAAAATATTATTTTTTTCACATGGTAAAAATAAACACTGTCTGAAGGTTGGTTGGACAAAAAAAAGACTTCAACTTGGTTTTACAAAAATTAGAGTAACTAAATATATATCATTTTCAGTACCAGCTTGCAGATCATCTACTGTTTTTACCTCTTTGTTACCAATGCAAGCTGTCAAATGTTCCACAGCAGGACAAGTCCTTGTGGATTTTATTTTCCCAGCTAGAAAATATCTGTGAAGCTTGAAGAGATATTCTCACATACTAGATTACATACTTAAAAGCAGTTGCATGGATTGAATTTTTAACTGAATTTCAAAGATAAATACATATTTATGATGTCATCTGGGAGCTGCCACACTGGGAGCAAAAGGAAGGAAGCTTGAAACAGATTAAAACAAATATTAAAAAGGAAAATATGCATACAGAAATGGTTTTTCACTCAAAAAAAAAAGTTCAGTGCCATAGCAATACAGTTTATTTTTACATTCAGGTAGAATGATAAAATGTTTTGTGACTTCTTTCTAGACAGCTCTTCATGAAGTATTGCTGGTCAGCTCCCACCTTTACAATGAATGTTTACCATAGTTGACCCTGCTAGTTCTTACACTCTCTGCAAAAGTTTATACCTCCATGAATTCTTGTTAGATACTGTCCCAGTCTGGGCTGGAATGGAGTTCACTTTTTCTTAGTAGCTCGTGCAGTGTTGTGTTTTGGCTTTAGTCTGAGAACAATGCTGATAACACACCAATGTTTTAGTTGCTGCTGAGTAAAGCTCACCCTAATCAAGGACTTTTCGGTCTCTCATGCTCTGCCAGTGAGGAGGGGCATGGGAAGCTGGGAGGGAGCACAGCCAGGACACCTGGCCCAAACTAGCCAAGGGATATTCCATACCACAGAATACTCAGTACATAAACTGAGGGGAGCTGGCTGGAAGCCCTGGTTGCTGCCTGGGGACTGGCCAGACATCGGTCAGCAGGTAGTGAGCAATTGTACTGTGCA